GGGTTGCCAGCTCCAGGTTGGGAAATTCCTGGAGATTTGGGGGGTGGAGTCTGGGGAGGGCAAGGTTTGGGGAGGGGAGGGACTTTGGTGGGATATAATGCCATAGAGTCCACCTTCCAAGGCGGCCATTTCTTCAGGGGAACTGATCTCTGTAGTCTGGAGATCACTTCTAGTTTCAAGAAATCTCCAGCTACCACCTGGAGGTTGGCAACCCTAGCCAGGAGGCAGCATCAGTGAATGGCTTTGGCCTCTCTGCCCTGTTGGTCCTCCAGAGGAGCTGGCCGGCCGCTGTGTGAGACAGGAGGCTGGACTGGATGGACCACAGGCCTGATCCAGCAGGGCTCTTCTGATGCTCATCTCAGTTTCTCTGCCCTATTGTTGGCCATCCAGAGGAACTGGTTGGCCCCTGTGTGAGATGGGATGCTGGACTAGATGAACCCTCACTGGTCTGACCCAGCAGGGCTCTTCTGAGGTTCTTATGAAGGCCTCAGCCTCTCTGCCCTCCAGAGAAACTGGTTGGCCCGTGTGAGACGGGATGCTGAACTAGGTGGACCCTCACTGGTCTGATCCAGCAGGGCTCTTCTGAGGTTCTTCTCAGGGGAAGACCTCAGTCTCTGTGCCCTGTTGTTGGTCCTCCAGAGGAACTAGTTGGCCACTGTGTGAGGCAGGATGCTGGACTAGATGGACCACAGGCCTGATCCAGCAGGGCTCTTCTGATGTTCTTATCAGGAGAAGGCCTTGGCCTCCCTGCCCTGTTGTTGGCCTTCCAGAGGAACTGGTTGACCATGGTGTGAGATAGGAAGCTGGACTGGATGGACCACTGGTCTGATCCAGCAGGGCTCTTCTGAGGTTCTTCTCAGGGGAAGGCCTCGGCCTCTCTGCCCTGTTGTTGGCCCTCCAGAGGAGCTGGCTGGCCACTGTGTGAGACGGGAGGCTGGACTAGATGGACCCTCCCTGGTCTGACCCAGCAGGGCTCTTCTGATGTTCTTATCAGGGGAAGGCCTCGGCCTCTATGCCCTGTTCTTGGCCCTCCAGAGGAACTGGTTGGCCACTATGTGAGAAAGGAGGCTGGACTAGATGGACCACTGGTCTGATCCAGCAGGGCTCTTCTGATGTTCTTATACTGAAAAGAGGGTGTTTTTGTTTTATGTTTTTCTTTCTTAGGGAATGATGTACCTGGAAGAGAGACGCTTAGTTCACCGAGACCTGGCAGCCCGAAATGTCCTCGTGAAATCACCAAATCACGTGAAGATCACAGACTTTGGCCTAGCCAGGCTACTGGAAGGGGACGAGAAGGAATACAGCGCAGATGGTGGGAAGGTGGGTGTGGCTGACATCAAATACAGCAGGGTTTGAAATGGCATCACCTCATCATGGAGTTTGACTCAAAAATCAATTATGTACAGTTTGGTGTAGTGGTTAGAAGCCCAGACTCTAATCTGGGAGAGCCGGGTTTGATCCCCCACTCCTCCACATGCAGCTGCTGGTGGATGGCCTTGGGACAGATACAAATTCTTTCAGAGCTGTTCTCTCAAGAGCAGTTCTCAGCCAGAACTCTCTCAGCCCCGCCTACCTCGCTGGGTGTCTGTCGTGGGGAGGGGAAGGGAAAGGAGATTGTAAGCTGCTCTGAGACTCCTTCAGGTGGTGAAGGGCGGGGTATAAATCCAATCTCCTCTTCTTCTTTTTCTACATAATAATTTTTCTTTATTAATTTTTTAAACTTTTTTATATTTATAGATGCCCATTAAATGGATGGCTCTTGAGTGTATCCATTACAGAAAATTTACGCATCAGACCGACGTCTGGAGCTACGGTAAATCTAAATCTATGTATTTATATTCCGTAATTAATATTATTATAGCAGCAAGGATTGCATATGCCAGTTGTTGGAGGAAAACAGGGGTACCAAACAGTAATGGAAGGGGTAGCTGGGTAGCTCAGGTGTTTGATGTAGGAGCCCTCAGGATAAAACTTTAGCATCACCTGTTAAGGTTTGCATTTCAAACATGTTTGTAAGAATTTTTCATCCAGATTTCAGGTAGGGCACTGTTTTAGTTATGCTGGGTCGTTTTTGAAGGGTTGTTAACCGTTTGGGGGTTTTCCTGGGTCTTTCTGAAAAATTTGGGACATTATTTTTGTCATTTCCCGCTGCCCGAGGCCCTCATTTCTGTCTCCATCTACTGGGAATGCATTTGGCTAATGGGGACTAGGGAATTTAGCCTCCTGGTGGGACCGGGGGATCCCCCGGAATTTACAGCTCATCTCCAGACTCCAGAGATCAGTTCCCCTGGAGGAAATGGCTGCTTTGGCGGGTGGACTCTGTGGCCTTGTGCCCCCCTGGGGCCCCCGCCCCCCCCCCCGGCTCCACCCCCAAATCTCCAGGAGTTTCCCAACTGGGATGTGGCGACCCTAATGGGGAGTATTCTTGTGAACACGGATAGCCTACTTCAGTGTAATCTCTGATCGCAGAGGGAGGGAGGGAGGGAAAAGGGGAAATGTTAAGTCGCTCGCTTAACAAAGCAGTCAGAGTGTGATTCAGCAAGAACACAGCTTTATTCTTCCACTCGAACACAACTCCAACACGGATCAACATCTGATAGCCAGAACAGCCTTTACATTGCAGCTGTCCTGCTTTTAAACTCTCCCGGCTAATGTAGCCACACCCACTGTACAATTACCAACCAATAAGGTTGTATGCATAAGGACCAATCACGGATGTTCCCGCTCAGGGAGCTTGCTTGAAAGTGATTGGTTAGGTGCTTCCTGGGCCAGTAACACGATTGGATGGATTTGGATCCTAGCCCAGGACGAAGCTTTACATTACACTTCAATTAGATCTTTCACAACATATCATGCATTCAAGGCAGCTTCGAATACACTACAGGACACCAGCCCCGGACTTCCTGTGCCACATCATCCCCACTGGAGGCCTCTCCCCACCACCAGCATCTGAGACGGCAGAGCCCACCTCCCTAGCCAGACGATGGTGGGCGGGCTCCTGGACTCACGCAAGGCTTGGCTGCTGCAGTGGCCTTTCCCCCTCATCGTTATTTTAATTAACCAGCGGATGAATTGCATTATATTGATAGAACAGTATAGCAAGATGTGTGCCAGGCTTCCTGAATTCCCAAGTTTTCAGGTTTTTTGACACAGTGAATCAGGGGTGTCAAACATGTGGACCGGGGGCCGGATTAGGCCCCCGGAGGGCTTCCATCAGGCCTGCAGTGGAACTGGTCATCTCCTGCCTCCAGTTCTGCTGCTGCGGCTGCATCATAGCTTGCTTCGCCAAACTCCCTTAATCACTCAGCCATTTCAAGTTTTAACCTGGGTCCTAGACTCAGAATTCTTGAGCATAAGATTTCTGTGGTGAGTGTCAATAAATCAAAAGTAGTTTTGCAGCTTACAGAGCTAATGTTTTAAGCATGTTTTTATTTTAAGTAAAAAAAAAACTTTGTGTTTGTGTCCTTTATAAAGTTTATATCTCCGCTACCTGGCATTACATGTTATGACACACATGGCCCGGCCCAGCAAGGTCAAATTTGTGTCAGATCCGACCCTCGTAACAAATGAGTTTGACACCCCTGGGCTACCTCCTTCCATTGCAGAGACCAATTCTGAGAGATGAATTTTCATTGCTCATGGAATGTGGAGTGTTTGGGGTCATTTCAGGTGGCCCCCGCCCTAATGAAAGCAGCTGATTTTGAGTATAATTTCATTCTGGGATCCCCAAAAGTGTATCCTTGTTAAGTCTTTCTTGCAGCAATGCAAAGTTAAACCTCAGCCCAAGATGCAGGGAAGCGAATGGGATGCTTCCAGCCGGTCGGGATTGATGGCCCGGCTCTCGCTGGTCTTGTTGTGAAGCAGATCCTTATCACCCATTTGATTTCTACACTTTCTGAGGCTTTTAGGAGAATTTACATTTGAAAAGAACGGCTAGGGTTCTGTCTCGGTGTTATCATTTGAAATACGTTATCGCTTTTGTCGGCCTGCCTGCAGGCCGGCTTCCTCGAAGCAGCCTTGATTGGGAAGCACTTTGGCTGCTCCTTGAGAAAGAAAAAGAGATCTTTTCTTTTAGACATGTGGCATCGTGGCCAGGAGCTATAATTTACGGTGCCAGGCAGTGCCTGGAAAGTGTTGGGAGGGCTATGGAAAGGGCAGAGAAAAAAAAGAAAAATAAGGCCTTATCTACTTATAAGAGGTTCTTACCATAGAGTTGCTGGTGATTCCTAGAGCTACCTGGAAGTGAAAAGGATAACTGTAGGAAGTTCTTGCCATAGAGTTGCTGGTGATTCCTGTTGCTATCTGAAAGTGAAAAGGACAGTTCTAGGATGTTCTTACCACAGAGTTACTGGTGATTCCTAGAGCTACCTGTAAATGAAAAGGATAGTTCTAGGAAGTTCTTATTATAGAGTTACTAGTGATTCCTAGAGCTACCTGGGTCCTCACTGTGGAGAAACATGGGGTATAAAGGAAGTAAATAAGTAATAAATATAGTTGAAGAAGGGAGGCAAATGAAAGGTTGGTGACTGAGTGGACGAGAAGGAGACAATGAGGCAGGGAAAAGGGAGAGGATAGAGGGGTTACCCTGTGAGAGAAAGAGGGAATAGTGTGGGAGTGTGGGGGCAGGGCCGGCCGGAGGTTTTTTTGAGCCCTAGGCGGGGCTACCTTCTGGCGCCCCCCAGCATGTGCCCAATGATGGGGTTGCCAACCTCCCGGAGCGCGCCCCAGAGAGCCCTTCTCTCTGGTTGATTTTACTCCCAAGGAGGTCTGTATGGGGTTGTAGCTTCCCTGCTGCTGGCTGCCTGCTGCGGGGGGGAGGTGGTGGGCCCAGGCAATGACCACAGCTTGCCGCGGGCCCGGGCACTGACCGCCTGCTCTTCTTTGCCACCACTGGCGGTGGGCTGGTGCTGGGCTACGTAGCTGGCAGGACGTGGTTGGCGCTGGGGCGGCGGCTCCTGCTCACCTTGACCGGCGCCCTGTGGCTGAACATGCTGCTCTCCTGGGCAGCCTCAGACACCTCCGCGCTGAGAATCATGGTCGGGCACCAGCGGGCATCAGAGGCTGGCACCGAATGGGACAGGCGCCCCCCTGGCAGGCTGGCTGCTGCCTTCACCGCGCTCCTCCTGTCAGCCCATCATCTGTTCAGCCCTCCGCGGGGGCACCCGCCCAAGTGGCGGCTCCTGCTGCTCCGGCTCCTGCCACTGCTGCCTTCTCGCGGCTGCCCTCAGGCCGCTGCGGAGGGGGGCGGGCTTCACACTGGAGCCAGACGGGGAGAGGGCAGGAGGTGGAGCGCGCGGCTGCAGGGCTGGCGGCCCTCTGAAAGGAGACCGAGAGAAAGACGGCTGGTAGAAGAGACCGCGGGGGGGGGGAATCGGTGCCCCATCCAGGGCCTGGCGCTCTAGGCGAATGCCTAGTTCACCTAGCGGGTGAACCGGCCCTGTGTGTGTGGGGGGGATATGGGGAAAGTAATGTGCCCTCTCCCAAGTCCTTGGAGGTTCCCTACCCTGCCAGTGGGCCTAGCCCAGTGTCCAGCTCCAGTTTTCCTAAGTAAAAGCTGCTGCCAAGGGAAGCTGAAGATGGGGGGGGCTGGCTGTTGGTGGGAAGGGGAGAAGGAAGCAGAAAAACACTCTGGGGGCTTTCAGGAAAGGGAAAGATGGAATGGTGGAGGAGGGGGAAATGAGATGCTTCCTACTACAAGTCCTTGCAGCTTCCCGCTTGTCGTCTATGGTGTTCTGAAAACGAAATCAGAATACCCTCATGTACATTCATGTGGGTTAGGCAACTCCGTGCTTTTTCGGACGAGATAGACCAAGAATGCCCAACATGGGGCCCCTGGGCGCCATGTCGCACCCAACACCTTTCCTGGTGCCCACCAAGTGTTTTCAGAAAATGGGCAGGGCCAGGTGGGGGCTTTGCCCAGCAGGACTCCTGGTTGGCCTGTAGAGAGCTTCTTGGCAGCTGCCCTCACAGCACAAGGATCTTCGCTGCGTGGCTGACGGTAAGCCTCGGCAGCTATTTTGTGGCTGGCTCTGCCTCAAGCGGCAGCCATCTTGCGGCAGCTGTTTTGCGGCTGTGTCAGAATTCCAGAGTTGACCACTGGCTCAAAAAGCTGGGGGGCCTTTGAGATAGACTATCCGTTGCAGTCCAGCTTTTGTCCTGGTTTGGGGGCCGAAAAATGTTCTGGTTGCCCTGACCTTGGCTGGGAGGGAAGCTGGTGGAGTTCATCCCTGCTGATTCCCTTGGTCCTCTGGGGGTTTTCAATACCATAAATACCAACAAACCATGGATTGACTCCTTTGGACTACTAGATACTGGGGATACCACTCTCCTGTCATTCCATCCTATCTGGTTGACTAGTTCTTAGATGGTAAGACAGGGAATTAAATTCCCCAAAGAGCCAGTTTGGTGTTGTGGTGAAGTGCGCGGACTCTAATCTGGGAGAACCGGGGTTGATTCCTCCACTCCTCCACTTGCACCTGGCTGGATGACCTTGGGCAAGCCGTAGCTGTTCTTGAAAGAGCAGTTTCTGTCTCTCGGCCCCATGTACGTCACAGGTTGTCTGTTGTGGGGAGGGGAAGGGAAAGGAGATTGTAACCCGCTCTGAGACTCCTTTGGGACTTCTTATTCTTCTTCGTCTTCTTCTTCCAGTTCTGTGGTATTTCAAATCTAGGGGTTTGCAGGGCTTGTACTTTATCCTTGTGTTTTTTTAACCATCTACATGAGACTGCTGGAAGAGGCCGCTCCTCAACCAAAGTTTCAGAGGGAGTGTTCACCGGTAGGCAGAGGACACCTGGCTCCATTTCTCCTTGTCAC